CGGGTCCTGTGTGAATTGCTGAGTGAGCACGTCTTGAAGAGTCAGCGAAGGATTACTCATGGCGCTGAGAAGCCGATGCGGTACTGGAAAGTATCTGGTCGAGCAGCCGTGGGACAGCAGTAGCAGAAGGGGCGAGGGGGGCGTTCACACAATCGTAGACCCTCCGTTCATGGCTGTAGTCCATGAGACCTTGCACACGGTGCCTCTGGGCAAGGTTTGCTGCTCTCACTTCTGCATTCGGAAACTGTGCTATTGCAGGGGCAAGAATCAGCAAAGGGTCACTCATGGGGCTGCAAAGCAAATGGGGTATGAGGACTACTCCTGGTCAAGTAGCAGTGGGAAAGCTGTAGCGGAGGGGCAGGGGATTCCACCCCATCATAGACCGTCTCTTCATGGCTGTAGCTTCAGAGCAAGAAGACGCTTGAAAGACACAGACCCTTGCCCATACCCAAGTCCAAAGAGCCCATAGTTGTCAGTGTGGTTGCCTTGCAGACCTTCAGCAACAACAATCATGACAGGACACTTACTGCAACTACAACTGGCCATGTAGGTGACCTTCTATTGCGCTGCAGGTCCATGACAAAGTGCGCTGGCAGCACAAGCTTTTGGGCAGTCAATCAGGACAAAGCTGGCTTCAGTTTGAAGACGTACAGAGAGCAATAAGAACAAGCAACCAAAGCTGCTAAGATTTGTGACACAAGCAGATGCAACAGCAAACATTCCGCACTGCTGCAGGTTTGCCTCACAGTGAGGAGCAAGGAGCGCCAAAAGCAGTGGGCTGACAACCACAACAGCCTGTCCAAGCCCAAGGGATACGATGGTGAGAAAGCCAAGGCCTGGTTCCTGGCCTTGCGCAAAGGTGCCAAGGTTGCGCAGAGCGCTGGAGGGGCTAGTTCTTGTGCTGTCAATCAGCAAAAGGCTGGCTTCAGCCTCAAGGCCTATGAAGAACAGCGCAGGCAGGCTGCAAAGGGGGGCAATCCAAAGCTGAGGAAAGATCCCCATGTGATCACGAATGCCTCAAGTGCCTTGTGCAACAGGGGACCCTGAAAGCCGAGGTCTCCCCCTTTAAAGCAGGAGTTTCCTGCACTTGCTGCACGCTTCGAGGAGCTGTCTAAAGCACTGGATACAAAAGATCCGCTCCCCAATAGCAAGGTCCAAGCGTTGATGGATGCGTATCCAGTCAGCCGACGACGGATTACAAACTACTGGGCCAACACCTTCCGCGAGCGTAGGAAGGGTGCCTCTGCTGCTGAGC